CGTTAATTGTAATATAAGATTACAAAAATAAAACACCAAAATAAAACTATACTTCGATACAACACCATTTGACTCGAGAGATACGAGTTTTAATAAAGCATCTAGAGTAGTATTTCGTCTAATGTTTCGCTTATATCAAATATACTCAAGGTTATTTTACTAATATACTCGAGTACAGTAACAATACACCAGATTAACATTCGACACATTGTCATCAAATCAAGCTAGCCTAGAGAGAAAATAGAGAAAAGAAAAGATAGATTCTTAATTCTCAATTCTCAATCAAGAAATTATTTACACTCGAGTATATCATCTCAAGAATCAGGAATCAGAATCCACTCCTTTGATCTTATCTCCCCCTAATCCCCCGGCCACCCCCCTCTAGGTTTTAATAGAACTCCCTATTACAACTCAACATACAACACAGTAAACAGTAAACAGAACCGCGTTTTACAATTATACTTTCAAACTGCAATAGACATACGAGTAATGTTAATTATAATCTATAATAAAGTCAATGCCATTATCAGTACTCGTACAGACCAAATATATCTATCTCATCCCACATCCCACCAGCTTCACAACACAAAAAATGTACTCAGCCACATCCGAACTAAACTAAAAACAGAAATAACGAACATGAATACGAGTACGTACATATACATCTGGTACTCGTTGGGTTGAGTGGAACGAAAATGAAAATGATAATAAAAACCAGACATGTCTTGTCTTTGCTGATACTCGAGTAAGTTATAACAAGTATAGAGTTAGAATATGGGGATATAGATAATGATGATGAGGCACAATAGTCTATAGGGGTATTCTTCATACCGTATTAACTTTTATGAATGTAGTGAGTGAATATACCGGTAGTAAATGACTTTTGTTGTATGTCTGCGTTGTTTCAGAGTTTTGTTTCAGAGTTTTGTTTCTGGGGGATGGTGATGTGCAATGGTGATGTGAAACGGTAAAATTGAGATGAGTGTAAAATCCATTCATAGCTTATATCATCTCATCTGGCATATGGCTCAGAGGATATCCTGCTAAAATTCTTCATATAACATGATATATCCACTCTGTATACACATCCCTCACACTCTCTCCATACCATACCACCTCTACAACTTACTCCCCACCAAACTCCCCCCATCCAACGCAATCGTCGCCCCATTAACATAACTCCCCGCTCTACTAGCCAAAAACAGACAAGCCCCCGCCACATCCTCCTTACTGCCAATTCTCCCCAGCGGAATCCCACTCACAATTTCCTCCTTATGATCCTTCAGCGTAGCCGCCATCATCTTACTCTCAAACGGACCACACGCCAACACATTACTCGTAATATTTCTCTTCCCCAAGTGATTCGCCAACACTCGGCTCAATTGATGCAAGCCGGCTTTACTTGCCGAATACGAGAATGTTTCTAGAGAAGGCACGCGGATGCCGTCCACAGAACCGATGTTGATGATGCGTGCGGGGTCCGAGGGAGTAGATGCGGCTTCCATGAGGGGAGTGAGGGCTTGGGTTAGTGTAAAGACTCGAGTGAGATTTAGAGTCAATACGCGTGTCCAAGCCGCATCGGGGAATTCCGCATATGGTGCCCCCCAGTTACTGCCGGAATTATTTACTAAGATGTGTAGTTTCGTCTCCCGCTTTTGTAATTCTTCAACCATGTTTTTGCAATCTTCGAGTTTGTAGAAGTCGGCGGGGATAGCGTGTGCGGACCCTTTGCCTGTGAGAAATAGTGGTTAGAGCTAGCTTGATTCTTGAATCTTGGATCTTGATCCTTGATTGACGACTGGGAAGAGGTAAAGTACCAAGTGCATTCAATTCCTTGCAAGCTTCCTCGCAAGCTTTAGCATCGCGGGACGAGATATAGACTTTCGCTCCATTCGTAACGAAGCCCTCAGATATCATTCGACCAATTCCCTTTGCACCACCGGTAACAAGTACGACCTTGTCCTGTACATCTCATTAGTTTATGAATTGCTCAAGGAAATCATTTGGCTGCTTACCTTAACGTTGAAGAGATTTGCGGCGTCCATGATTGAGATTTAAAGCTTGCAGATGTACTGGTATGTGTTTCTTGGATGAATAAGAATATGAGAAGAAATGGATTGAGGTTGCGATGAGGATGAGGATGAGGATGATGATCTCCAACTCTAATATCCGGGGTTTCGTGAGCCTCGGCTTGTTTATTTTGCCAAGAACAGGGGTAAGCTCGGCTTGCCAGCGCCCACAACTGCCCCACCAGCCCATCTGGTGCTGATTGAATGCAAGTACCGGCAATAGATGAATGATTATTAATCACTGAAATAATAAATTACTACCGGTAATGTTACCCATTGGACTGCCGAATAGCCATCACTCGGATACCAGATTCCTAATGACATCCATCCAAGCCATCAATGCCTAGATGCCTCTAATGAAATGAATACGCGAGTCGGAATACGTTGTGGACGAACCTCCCCTTTTCTCCACCTCTTATTTCTAGTTTGTTTACATGATGTGTACCCTCTAGTCTAGCTAGTGATTTCCCTATTTAACCTCTGTCTTTACCCATCCATCGTCTTTCCGAATATTATCTATCACATTTCACATCCCAAAGATTTTACTTCTGACCATCAAATCGAAGTTTGCAAGAGTCAAATCGTAACGGGAAGAATATCTAAAGAAAAGGTACAAAAATGTCTTCAAATACCGGTTCCAGTTTATCTAGTAAGTTAGATCCTTCCCTGATATATTTAAAATAGAATTTAACAATCTAGATGTACGATCTCTTCTGAGAGATCAATTCGAGGGCCAAGATCCAGCCGACCATGGCGAGAAATGGGATGAGCTCTGGAAAAATAAGTTCACACCATGGGACAACGATTCACCTAACCCAGCACTCATTGACGTCCTCAATGAGCGGGAAGATCTTGTGCCGAAGATAGCTGATGGTCCAAAGAAGAAGGCTTTGGTCGCAGGATGTGGAAAGGGCTACGATGTCCTATTGTTGAGTGCTATGGGTTATGATGCTTATGGGCTCGATATATCTGAGACAGGTCTGCAGGGTGCTAGGGATACCGAGAAGGAGAAAGATGGAAAGGGTATGTATGCAACGAAGGAAGGGGTAAAGAAAGGAAAAGTCACCTGGATATTTGGAGACTTCTTCAAAGATGATTTCTTGATAAATGTCGAGGGAGAGAAAAGCTTTGATTTAATTTACGATTTCACGGTATGTAATTCTTGAAACTTGTTGCTATCAAGATTACTAATCTTGAATCAAGTTTGGCTGTGCATTACCTCCAGTTTTGAGACCTGCTTGGTCTAAACGATATCATGAGCTTCTATCCCCAGAAGGAAGACTTATCTGTCTTGAGTTTCCTACCACTAAGTCTCCGTCGCTTGGAGGTCCGCCATGGGCCATGCCTCCAAGAATTTATGAAGGTCATTTATCACGCCCGGGTGAAGTGTTACCATACACGGAGGAAGGTTGCGAATTGGAAGTTGAGAAGCTTGGCCCATCACACCAAAATGGTCTTCAGCGTATCGCACATTTTCATCCCAAGAGAACTAATGAGGGGGGATATGGGGAAGATGGTACCATAAATGATTTCATCAGTGTCTGGTCGCATTGAATAGCCGCCTAATTATTAGAATGAGAACTTTGGGTTGTGCTCCTTGAGCTATTGCGTCCTTTACGGTGCCTTTCGAAGTGAATTGTAATGTTCTCCCAGTCCAAATCCGTGTCGATAATATGCCAGATAAATCGTCTCTGTTTTTTTCTCGGTCCCAGGCTCAATCTTTTGGGCAGCTCCATTCTGCAACACACAGATCTCGACATTATAGGTTTTTGCCAGAGCAAGAAGTTCCAAATGGCCACCCCATTCCGCAGTTTCTCTAACTTTGCGAATAAAATCCTCGAGCGGTTCGTCTAGAAACGGAATAAAATCATCTGGGTGTCCCTCGATATATCTTGCAGCTGCTTTGCGGATCACTTTGTATCGTTGATCATCCTTCAATCCTTCTGCCTCTGCTCCAAGAGGTATTCCAGCCTGGGACAACTGATCGGCTATGGCAGAGAAGAGGCAATGTCCATCTGGTCGAATTTGTTTCTCATGTAAATTCCTTGAGCTAAACTCCTCCTGCATTCGTTTCCTCTCCACTTCTTTTTCGTTGGGCATATTTGCAGCTTCTTTCCTAGCTTCCTCCACATCAGCTTCTTGTTCCGCCGCTCTTCGTGCGAGTCTTTCTTTCTGTCGATTACGTTTCTTAGTTTGTCCTGTCTCGAAATCCGCCGCTTCGGCGATCGAGGATTTATCTAAGGAGTTCGTGAGATCATGGACTCCATTTGTATCAATCACATTTGCAGAAGTTTCTGAAGCTTCTTCATCAAGCTCTGGAACATCATTAATATCCGCAACAGTATCCCCGTCTAGCGATGCTATTTCTTGAGCTTGTCTTTCTTTCAATTGTCGTTCTAATTCTTCGCATTCGTTATTCACACCTTTTCTAGTCTTCTTCGATGCGCCTTTCTTCTTTTGTGTTGTGCGTCCTTGTAAATCCTTTTGCTCCTTGCGATGGCGACTTTGCATATCTTCGAAGCCCTCCATGTTGAATTCGCGTTTTTGAATTTGGTAGTGAGCGTTGTATTGTGGTGAAAGTGAGGGGCAGATCTTATGAAGGAAGAGTGACCAAAGTTATGTTACACCGCCTTTTCTGCAGTATCTTAAGATTTTACAATCTGACACCACCGGAAATAAGCTCCAGAAGGTACTCTTATTCCCAGTCAATGGAATTTTCAATAATTTTGTCCCAATTGGGATGGATGGAGCAAAGAAGCTTTTCAACATTTTTCAGACATGCAACAAAACAAAATCTGGGTAGTATTCACCGCTTCCTGGCAGAATAACCATCAATAGGCAGAATAAAAGGGCGGTGAAATATAACTGGTTACTACTTTGACCTCCGAATTACTTTTGTGTTAATATATATTCACTTGGTCTGATTACTTAGAATATTGGTCTTATAACTATACTTGGAATCCTAATCAGCACGCAAGTCGCTCTGTACCGGTAAAGATTTGTCAGACTTATCCTCTGAACGCTCTTCTTGCGGCATATATTCCTTGGTTCTTTAATCGCGATTGCTTGTGATAGTTGAGACAACTATGGGCACCCAGAGAGTGATAGAATGGCTGACCTTGGCTGATGGAAAAACCGGGCAATCCACCCCATATACGAGCACCATACTCATATCAACTTAATGCGCAAAACAGTGCAAGGCGTTGCAGCTTCTTACAGTGGGTGGCTAGCCTGACCGAACGATGATGATCAGAGCTTAGTGTAGACTTTCTTGGTTCCTTTATATCTTACCGAAGTCTTTCTTTAACAAAGTTGTCCATGGCACAGCTTCTGGTTGATCGATCCAGGCTCGCATCTGATCAAAAGGGTCAACAAGTGTCTGTTCTCTGCTCTAAAGCATTTCACGTTGGACTTTCGGTCCACATGCCAATCATGCTCTCAATTCGGGCTACTTCTGCCGAACTAGTCACATACCTTGAATCAATATGGTTTAGTTCTATTGATTTTGCTGTCTTATGTGGAATTTTGGTCGGAATACGCTTCCTAAATAAAGTTGCCAGTAAACTTCGTGATGGCGGCGTGAGGATAATAATGTTCTACTTCTTACCCTTGACTACCGCATATGAACTGTCAATGGGAGAGATGTTTCGTTCTCCACCACGGTAAGCTTTGATCATGAGGGAATACTGGCCTTCACTACTCGATTCTTCTTGGTACAAATAGCGCTGCATTTGCAAGTTCAGATCTATGCCTGGCATCGAAACAATATGGTCGACTTATATCGTTACAGCTGTTGAAGTTGCAATATCTAGTGATGGGTTGGCCTTTGCTGGATTCCTCCATGTACATCCATTTCATACACCTCTTTCGTAGTCCGACGAATGCTAATAAGTGGGGGACAGTCTCTGTACATTTTAGCCATTTTCTATGTCCCTACTAATACATGTCTTCAAATTGGCGGTATTTTCTACAGCTCCACCCGCTCTCTCGTTTTCTCCTCCTTGATCTAATCGCAATTCCAATTATAACTCCGGCTTTCCTACAGACTGGTACACACCGTTCCCGCTACAGACAAAGCCTTGCTGTCCAACAAGAAAAGCTGATAAACTCGATACACAGCTTCCCTATCACTTACTATTCCTAGAAGCGGTGGGAAGAGCGAGTTAGAGAATGGTGCTAATTGTGGATGTGACATGTATTTGGTATCTCCTATAGATTGTTCTATTTTATCTACATTATTTTTTTATCTAGACTAATGAAATTCCTGATTTGTCGTACAGAACGCTGTGAGTTCCCCTTGCTATTCCATTCCTAGATGATGATCCCCTCTTTCAGTTCCATCCTCGCAATCTCCAAACGCCAAGATAATTAACCCAATCCATACCCAATATCAAAAGCCGCGCCCCAGTCCCACGGTATATTCCCTTTCCCCTCTCCCCTTTCCCCAAAAAAACGTCACATCATCCCGACACAATTTCTTTCCCTGCCAAACCTTCAATCCCGCAAAATATGGACCAGAGTTATCAGCCCCATCATTCGCATAGAAATACTCCAATGCAGTAATCTCACTAGGATGAATAAAATGGAAAAGCAACATCATATTAAGCATGAGGGCCCCATCAAAGATAATCAGGAATATCTCATTACTTCGAACGAGTCCCGCAGTTCCGCCCAAATTCTCAACCAAACGAACAATCGATCGAACCGCGATAAGCGCAGAAGCGATGTATAAAGCGATGAGATGTTTCTTATACAGGATATCTGTGTGGGGAATTTCGATTATGTTATTGCGAGAAGACGTTCGGAAGGATGACATGAAATATTGTATTGGAATTTCGCAACTGTGAAGACAAAGATGAGTAGGAAGATTAATTGTTCGCCTAATCCCATCGTGACAAGTCGATTGCCGAGTCTGATCCAACTGATGGGTATGGTAGTCATGAGACTGAGAATAGAACCAACGATGAGGATGATGACTGAGAAACAATCGAAGAAGAGGAAGATCTTCTGGAAGCGGCTTAGACGGATTGTAGAGAGTGATTCTCCGCCGACGGCTATAACAACGTGTTCGTAGTACTCGCACATATAGATTGCTGCTGCCATGATGGTTGGTGCGACTAAGATGCAGGTGTATTGAATGGCAAAAGGAATGCCTGAGTAATTTGGTGATTCGAAGTGTGATACCACGCGGCATCCATAACCGATTGTTTCAACTGTGGTGAGATGTTAGTACAGTTACTCTGGCTCTCGGACAATTGAAGGGGAGACTCACGTAAACCTCCAACTATAATGGGGATGAAAATCTTTATTTTAGAACGTGATACTTGGTATGCGTGTAGGGCTGTTGTTTGGACATAGATTGCTGCGAACATAGCTGGGGCTGCCATGATTGGTACATAGCAGTAGTATGCACATGAATCAAGGGTCGCTGTAGCTACCATAGTTGCGGTCATTGAAGTTATCGAAACGTGGAATAGAAAGTTCAAGGATGTCAACTGAAGTGTAGATTTGGTTATGAGATGAAAGGTGATTAGGATAATTTGATGTGTTATGAAGTTATATTCTCTTAAGGGTAAACTCTCCATCTATATAGAGAGACATGTAATTCATCATCATGATTATCGCACATTATCTTTGCAATGCGAAAAGACCGTAGGATGTTGAAATGGTGACTTTTTCTGGTATCCCATATGTGATATTGAAATAGCACAACTTGACACAGCCAAAAGAAAACCCTAAAGGAAACTTTGAACCAACCAGATTGCGTCGCATAGCGTATAATAAGTTCATCTGGGGAAATAAAGCAGAGTTTCTGGCTGGAACAACGCTAGGAGGTGGGGGGGGGGGGGGGGCGAAAATCCCCGAATACGCAAATGCGAAAGTCTAAATGCGATTTACTAGTCTAGCACGCCGCAGCAACTTTTTCAGATTCCATAAGGCTTAAATGGAGTGCCGATCAACGGTTTTAGATTCGAAGACTCTCTCTATAACTTCCGAGTTCGATGTTGCTATAGATAATGTTTGATATAATGATGGAAGACGAGATCTTGAAAGCTGACAAGATGCAGGGATTATATAACCAAGCAACAATCCACACGAAGAGTTCCACCAAACTTTTGGTAAAAGGCTATCGGGAAATTTTAATGGTAGAAATTTGTATCTGATAGTCTCTGAAATCATCGCAGCGAAGAAATAAGTTGATACAGCCCACTTTACACCCCTCCCTAGCGGATGAGCATGACATCTGTTCCATGGCTTGTGTCCAATGTAACTTTGACATAGTTACCTTGTAAGACCTGTAACTTTTCTGGAATCTTGCTGGAACTGATCCATGAGTAATAGAGCTCCGATGATCGAAGCTGAGGACACCCGGTGAGCCTATCCCCGCTGCGCTTTTTATGTTGGGCTTGGTGGGCTTCTTTCATCTACCAGGGACTATCCACTATCATGGCAGTGAGAAGATAAAATTTCACTCGTCTATTGTTTCTCCCACCATCATCAACAACTGACGTGCCAATGTACCAGACGGCCGTGGTTTGTTTCCTGAAGATGTACTCAATTTCCATCTCGCGAATGTTCGAAATATAGTCCGATTATTCCAATCTATCATCGCTCGACTGGCACACAATAGCTCCCGCAACTTATATACTATCTTCTCTCGTGTATCTGGTTATGTAGCTGTGTGGTGAAAGATATTTCGTGGCAGTCAAAGTTAACGCGACATCATACGAAACGAAAGATACAGTCGTTCTTGAGAACAATACCTGTGGAGGCGTGGGTGCATCGTTTGGAATAGTGGTCATAAAGGCCCGAGATTGTAAGTTTATGACGAGGACTGGGATGGTGGAGGAGGTGTACAGCGACAAGACCAATACTTTGATGAGTAAGCAAAGTCTAGGATGCATGGTTTTGTGGAGGTATAAAAATGCGGGACGTAAAAATTGCTTCATGTATCCTGTGCAGAAGGCAATCGAACTGCGGATAAATTGAATGTTTCCTCGCCAAGATACGATCGGTACCTGCTGCCTATTGCTGAACGGATTGAATCTCCCGGACAACAATATGAGTTCATGAAGTCCTCCGAGCAACAAAAGAAACAGACAAAATGGCATCACATTCATCGTGGACCAATTTTTGGTCACGACGGACTGAACAGCATCGGAAATAGTAGTAATCATGGCCTTTTGTACTAAGATAAAGTCACCAAAGTGGGTGGTGAATACTTTGATGTCTTATGTTCGCAAACCCTTCGGTTTGATTGATATCACTTCACATGTCTCTATGCAGCTCTTCAAGTTTTCTTTCCTAATAACTATCGATACTGTGCTATTTATCACCATTTCAATTCACATTCTCGGACATGAGTGTAATCAAGTGGTTCAATCCAGCCTTTGGGAAGGGCAGAACAGTTTCAGTAGCTGTTGGTGGTAATGGTTTCGTGACAGCGGAAATTCTGTATGCCTTTCTGTGCCGGGGCTACAATGTCTGCTCCAGCATCCGTCCTCCTATGGTGTATGGGTCCGACGCGTAGAACGTCATATTAATTGATCATCCGAACACTTCCTTGGCGAACATCGATTACCTTACGAGCGGGTCCGAAATGGCTGTCCCAAATGCCACTTTATTCGGCAACGTCGATGTCCACGAAGTGGGAAGCTCATATTTCAGCATAGGAATTGCCGAACTTGCTAGCTAGAGGCTCTTCACTTCCAATGGTTGTTATATATGCTCAAGTGAAGTTATCTGGAGGCTTTTTCCACACTGATGGACAGTATCCAATCCATGGACTGCGCAAATCGAGAATGCATATTGGATCATCAAGAACGAGAAAGCGAGGAAGAAGCTTTGAATGAAATTCAGAAATTCGAAAATGATGATTTACGAATTTAGGAACTTGGGAAAGGATTTGAGCAAACTGTTGGGCAAAGTTTGCGGCTTTCAAGGGAACGACGATTTGTGACGTTTCGGGTTCACGTTGAGGGCTCGTTTGAATGCCATTTTCTGTGACGGAGGCCCCAACATGATAGGATGTAAGAGTCTGCTAAAATTTCAGGCCTATAAAGTGATGGTACCAAGCTTCATAGCGGGCAGTTTCACCTCACTCTTACCCGCCTTCGTCAACATTTGGTCAACTTGCCAAAGTGTCTGCGGCATTTCTTCTTCAAATACTCCTACTGGTCTCAAAGTAATATATGAACGGAGTCAGTTCATGAAGCAGTCCTTTCCATTATCCACTTGCATTTTTCTTTTTCAAGCTGATTGATATCTTCATGAATGTTCGGAATCCGCGTTTTTCATAAAGACCGCAGCCAGTGTCAGATGCCTGGAGATGACAGGAGCTTATCGTGTGTGGTGAGCTTTCGATAAGGACGCCAGCAAAGGCAATGTATAGGGATTAATATTCAATCTCATTTACCTCGATAAACCCTTCCAGTCCTAATTCATCCGCTTTGTCGATGCCCCCACCGACACCCTTTCCTCTATGCTCTGGATGTACCAATGTTTGATTCAGATCTTTATGAGGTCATACAAATTAAGATGGGTCCAACAAGGCTGCACGAAATATAGCCCAGAAATTGTGCTGACATACTTGATTTTAATTAAAGCTGGTAGACGGATGAGGAATGGGGAGAAGCGACGATTAGTGTTGTGATCGTGAGTCTTTATAAGAGACATGAATGACTTTTGCTATAATTTGTCGGTTAGTTCAGTCTTAATTTAGAGCCTAGTAATTCGGTAATTCGTTGATGCTCGTCCGACCAGCCGGTAGCGAAGTGGCGGATGACTACTGTAGTACTCGTCGGGCAGTGCCGGTATGGCTTTGGGCTCCCTCCAATGTCGCTTGTGATTCCTGACTGAGCCTAAGTGAAATTCTAACGGGTTCTTACTTTCTTATCAGAAATGATAAGTGCTACCGGTATTTCTCAATTGTTTATTCCACTGCTCTACATTCGGTACACTTTTGCCAGAGTAGGGTTAAGGTTCAATATCAGGATAAGCCATACAGCAACTTCATGTCAACTAAGGAGGTATCTTTTACAAAACATTTTGAGTGAAATTATGGCAGATAAAGCCCCAAAGCCTTGTGCCGCAACTAAAGGAGAAGTTAGCACTAGAATTATCGTCGCAACATCAAACTCTATCAACATCACCATCATGTATATAATCGAAGCAGGCTTACCCGTAGATTCGGGGGGCGGTGTTGAAAACAGAAGTTGACCCGAACTTTTAAGCAGATCACCTGGTGGATTGAAACAACCTGGCATTTATATTCTATACAGTATTACTGACGTCACCGCACAGGAACTAAACTTTCCCGAAACTAATTCCTTCAATCAATTTAGTTTGTATTGCACAACCACCCGGGCAAAAGCTCTCCATAATCAGATCCTACGCCAATGGTATTGTTGAGTACGACGGTATCCACACTTGCTGATTGAAACGAATGGTATAATTGTTGACATGATCTTGGATTTACGTTTGGCTCGATTGACCGGATTGTCGCCGCATTCTTTGCTGCCATCCCATGTAAAACACCTTGATTTGGACGATGTGCAACTTCAAAACATAAGATGAACGCGAAACAGGCCCTTCATCGCAGCATTGCATTCCGAAGCGAACGAATCACCAGTAGAATATAGGTTTCGCCGCATTGCTGACTATAATTCTGGAACTTTTCGCGTTTCAGGATCAGCCGCACTCAATAAAATATGCAGTTGGAGCCTCTACCCCCATATTCTCAGCTTATTGTTGCCATTTGTTGATATTCTCCAGATTAAGAATCATGCAGGGAGAGCTAAACAATGAGGGCGAATTGTTTCGAAACTGCCAGCTCTGAGCCCTCCGATTTTGCCCTACGAACTGCCTATAGATTTGGCAAGGAGCACACTGTCAATATCATACATAAACTGCGGTACTGTAATGTACTATGAGCTTAGACAGAAAATCGATTGCGGGTCTTTTTACATCACATTCTTTACTTTGTCTCAAGTCAGCCTCAAATCTGTATATGGTTAATATTCGATGAATCGCACACAGCTCTATGTTTAGTCAGGCTATACTATCAGTATGATATCATTAACAGATGCCCAGGAGTCCACGTTGATAAGGTGGGCATCATATAGTCTGGGAAGACCTCAGGACGGCTTCATGGCATTTCTTATGGGCGAGACAGGTCTGCATGAAGAACAAATCAATGATTGGTGGACCAATCAGGCAAGTTCTTGTATGTATATCTCTCAAGATCTGACATGAGCAAAGGTTCTAATGGTATGTATCAGGTCTTAATACCAAACTTACACCTGGAAATGTAGAGTCATCTTCCAGGGTGGACGCGTATGGTTTTGGGAGCAACGGTTTTGATCTGGCAAAATTTAATCTACCAAGCCTTGCTTTCGATTCATTTGGAGACAGCATACAGAACTTCGATGCAACTTTTTTCGGTCTGGGAGATTGGTCACCACTCGAGAATTCATGTTATGATTTACCTCAACTCCCTTCGACTTCAATGGCTTGCCAAACCCAAAAAGGGTGGGGTGATGACTACTCGGAAAAGAGCTTTCTTCACTCAAATACTATGTCATCTTCAGATACCGAGTCATTATTATCGATGCCATCAAGTCATGGGAGTAGACGTGCGTCAGGCAGATCATCAGGATTTTCTTGTGGATCAAGAAATACCTGGGGTACCACATCAACACTTTTCTCCGTAGAGGAAGATCAGGCAGCAGGATCAATGGACTCATACCAAGGTTTCCAACATCGCAAGCCCATAAGTCTAGCAAAAGTCATGTCGGAGTCCGGTTCGCAATTTGAGTTACCTGATGACCTCAAAACGAATCATTTCAACACCCATGACCACAGCTTGGAATCTGTCCAACGACCATCCACCAGTTTGAGGCGCAAATCAAGTACGAATATCAACGCCAAGAAGCTGCCAGACATACCTCAAAAATTCGTAAGGTATGGTTGCACAATATGCGGCCAACAATTTGAACGCAAAGGTGCCAAAGGCGACTGGAAAAGACACGAACAAACAAAGTGCGAGCAACAGAAATTGTGGTACTGCATGCCAAAAGAGCCGACCACCCAGGTACTTGGTATTTGGTATTGCATGCTATGCAATTACACTGAGAGCAATCGCAACGAGATGATCAAACATCTCATTGACCAACATCGGTTCCAAAACTGCTGGGGAAAACCTCTTTCTAAAAGGAGTCACCCGAGGAAAGATAAGCTAAGGGATCACTTGAAGAAACACCATGGTCTATCTGAAGGGTCAATTGGATGGGAGAATTGGCATCAAGATTTACCGGAAAAGAAGGCTTGGGGCTGCGGATTTTGCGGTGGTTGCTTTATTACCTGGGATGGTAAGTTATCAATTCAACTTCATGTATTGACGTTCTTCAGTTCCGTGCGGCAATAGCCTACTCAAGACAGGACATGCAAATAAGTCAAGAATTACGAAGGGCAGTCATAACTAACATCAAACAGCAAGACTCGACCATATTGCCGAACACTACGAAAAGCAAGGACTCGACGTTTCGCATTGGTCATTAACAAACGTCATCAAAGGCCTGCTCAAACAGCCCAGAGAATGGGATATATCACATGCCTGGAAAGCCCTAGTTGGCCACAATGATCGATTGTACACATGGTTAGACGACGACGCCATAATATTGCAGCGCAAATTAGAGTATCGCGAAGACACACCACAGAATCTCGCCGAAGAGGCGAGAAGATTAGCAAAAAGATCTTCGCACAACGCCGTTCCGCAAACTTGGTCCCTCTCCGAGTCTCAGGCTGTAAGACTAGCGCAAGTTATGTTGGCTGAGCCACTGAGGAAAACTTCGGCTCGCAGAGATGGTGGGATTTTCTATGGGGTTCAGGAGTCTTTTATGGCAGGTGTGGAGCAAACGGTTCGGGAGGCTGGGGTTCGAGATGGTAAATTTAATGGATATATCTAATCAATCGGTGAATGCGGGCGAAAATGTCCCACACCAAGGCACGACTGTGGTGAGAGCTGGTTATCTACATCACTTACGCGCTTTATATTTCCCTGCCGTGTAATCAACGAGCTTGGCTTCGACCCTCTCGAGGCTCAAAATAACCACGGCTGCCAGCCCCTGAGGACCGTACCTTTCTTTACTCATACTTCAAAATTCTTAGACATTGAGGGCTGGAACTTTTTTATATAATTAATGTATATTCCAATCGAATTTGAACTTCAAAGTTAAAAATATATGCTATGCTGGCTACGAATTTGGTCTGTCTTGAATGATATGCATAGCAGTGCTCGGCTCTTTATCTGTCGATAGGGGTGGGGTGCATTAGTATAAGCGAGAGTAAACCAGCCAGAGACGACTGCTAATAATGAAGTGTTAATGAAGGAGGCTACAAAATAGGATTTTGGCCTATGCTGAGGAACGATAATGAGTTGATGGTAATACTAGGAAGATATGAGGGTAATAAGATATCAGCAATGTGCTATCCTGACAATTCCGAAGGGAGATGCCGCATTCGTGACCTTACATTCAAGTTAGATCTTTAATATCATCTTCGAAGTGCAGAGTACTTTCTCGCCAATTTGCATCGGGATCAATAGTGAAAAATAAAATAATTTTGGTGGATAGTCTTACTTTTCACAACCATGAATTCCATCCCAATTCCAAACAGTCTGATCATTGCGGGGATGCTTTCGGATATTTGTCCTGATGGAAAAACCCTCCGTTGCATCTACTGCTATATATTTTCAGCAAACAGTCAACTTGTTCGATCACCAATTGAAATATAACATTCCATATTGATTCTTATATTACTCATAAAAGACCTTCCGCTACAATAACTTTAAACTCGTTGTAATTTTCGCTTCGTTCAAATAATCGGTTTAGGATTTTCTCGACCGTGACATATATTCCAAGTATCCAACATCGCGTCACGCAAGACTATTACATTCATTCATTCAATTGTACTCGTATGATTCTAGGGTAAATTAAACATGAATATCCTCTCTACTAACTCGAGAATGAAATTGATTTAGATCAAGAACTACAGTACGTGCAGCTATCAATCAGAAATCTTGTAAATGAGGGAACGAAGTACTTACAATTGATCCAGTATTTATAGGTCGAAGAAACACGAACACATAATGCGAACTAGGTCGGAGTGAATGAATGTTTTCATCTATTCGAAAAGCTAGGATCAATTCATATTCATTTATTTCTGAGACAGCATCATTGTCGTGAAGACTTAAGATTGAATGTTGTTCATGGTGTGATAGGTCGGGGACTGCATAAGTTTTATTGTCTTCTCCTTCGGGAGCTGTTGTAATTTTTGTTTTGTCAATAGATGTAGGTTGGCTCAATGTAACAATATTTTCTTATTTCGGGACAGTGGTAGAGGTACTGATATCTTCACCTGGTTTATGAATCGTGACCTCAACCTCAATGACCTCAATCCTGAGCAGAAATGAGAGCATACGCACACTCTTATGATTATCATCAAAGTATGAAATCAGTACCTTATAAAACTCATCGCAAAGAATACAGATCAGTTGTGCCAGAGGGCGCTCATCAATTGGCATCGAACCCTCTTCCAGAATAGCCGTAACAACACCTAGCTTGACTTCCTCGAGATACCCCTACTATGATATTCATATTCAAACGAGAAAGAAAATAAATTTCGTTAGCACATAGACTTTATACACCACTCGGAAGAAACATTTGAATTCAATCCTTTTTTCGCTAACAGCCAACGTGTCCCGGGTCCTGCCATTTCCAGCTCCGTCCAGAACGACAGATTTGGCGAACATCCTTCTCGGTGAACCTATCTTCGATCTTCCTTAGATTTAAAAACTTTTCTATCTCTATTTAAACTGACATCAAAGCAAGTGGTAAGAACTTCAGAATTTCCGAGTCATTGATGCGAGTAATAATAAACTGGCAATCTTCTGCATTATGTATAAAATCCGAGATAAAGCGATGGTTTTCGAAGTAGATATCTCATGCGAGTCCGACACTGGAAAGATCAACCAGAGGTAACCTTATTGTATTGAATTGAAGTAAATAAGGAGGACACATGTTTCTATCGAGTACTGAATTCCTGAGTTCTCTTTGAATATGACGAAGAGTGTTTAAGATTCTTTGATCTATTGTGGTATCGACAGCAGGTTTAAGAAGTCCTTTCTTGTTCTTTGTATCGAGGATGATGTTCCGTGCATCGGGGATATTTAATATCTAGTGAGTCGGTCATTAATTGATGATGCAGCTATTTTGTGTTAGATGCGAGCAGAATATTAGGCATCCCGTACATCAGTAGTTGTCGGTAAAGATGGATGTGGTGTGATTATTTGCATATACACTCGTAGACATATTTCAATGGCATGACTACCAACAAACAGCCATCGATATCGGATATTTCCGAGATGTGACAATTCATCATAAACAGCAACCAACACGGACTAAGATTTCATCTAGTAGGTTAAGGGGCAACGCGCTGCATGTTATTGATCTCAAAATTTCAAGACATCAGCCATTTCAAAACATATGAACAATGAGCTCTGATTCTGCACTAATTTTATTGTTGAAAAGAGTAAGAAGAACATATGTTTGCAGAAGCAAAAAGACAACGCTTTTGAAGTACTGAGCTACTACCAATTAAAATCCCTACGTTTTCAATGATCGAATTTCATGACTAAGTTGCCTATCTCCTTTCCACCTATAAGACTTCTGAATGTGAGGTTGTCCCCCGTGCTACCGAATATTATTTGTTCTTCAGATTCAAGGCGATGCACCCAGCGATTGAGTTTAGCATTGTATTTCTTTTTAGCATATTTACCGAAATCAAAATTCCTACCTAGAGTTAATTCGGTAGTTCCAACTAACTCGACCCCTATATTATGTTAGCTAAGTTTTATTTGTTTGATTTGTTTGACTAAATCGACATACTAGGAGTAGAATAATATTCGGGAGGCTGTTCTGCCACACATGCATACAAGGCATTATACAAAACCGTATCTGTTCCAGGTGTGTACTCGCAGCAAACATCAGTAATTCTTGAGGTGCCCTTGGTTATGTCATCACCCTACCATATTTTCGTTAGCGAGCACGAACTAAATTGGGTGAAAAAACAATAGTGACTCATTGAGGACTTGCCTTGAAAATTAACCATTTCATTCGATCACTGCATAATTTCTGATTGTCCCATGGATTGATATAGGAGCGGTTTTCTGGGTCTACGCCTTCCCGAAAAGTCTTGTCTAGACGAATACCGTAATGACGGCGGAGGTGTTTCACCCGTGGTGCAATATCCATCAATCCACGTAAGGCAGCTCCACGGACAACAGCAGATTGGCTTCAGTAAATCAGCATAGAAACAGAGAAATGTTTTCGTGAATCGCGACTCACGGATGCAAGGGGCATAGCAAAGTTATGTTCCCATTTCGCTTGCACCACGCCTTCAACTTTTTATTGAGGTATGGCGATTCACCAAAACCCCCGACTAAAATGATCCGCTGATGCGTCGCGAATTTCAGCAGGACTTCTTTGTTTCTGTTCATTGTGAGAATGGGAACCTACGTTGATTTTCGCATTCTGGCTGTCCTTTGCCGCCTTCACTTGCTGTTTTACCAAGTTTGTAATTTCCCTGACGACGGGATCGAAGAGGGCTAGCATATCTTTGCTGAAAACTAATTAGTAAACTTCCTACTTTGCAGATGGAGTCATCTTACTATGTGAGCAACACAAGTCGGTCCTCCCTATCATAAGACTCAGAGTCCAAAATATCGAGATTAAGAGGGCCCAACTCCCCTACTTCTCTCTCATCATTACGTCCAAAGTCCCGTTTCAACATTTCGAAGGACGCCATAAATCTGCTACCTGGACCCTTTTGACTAAACTGCAGTTCATCAAATGCTGATCCGAACCGTTCGGACAGCAGAGAATGGAGATTTCGATCGATGTATGTTGACCCGCATTTTCCACCTATTCAGGAAGTCAGATCAAGTTCCGATTGACTAATTGTGTGCCGGACAAGACTTACCGATACCAACACAAAGTTCGTCAAATGTAAGGTATGGCTGCACCTGGATGATTGTATATGTTGTAATGTCGATGGTACCCCCACCACAGTCACATATTAGTATATTCTCATTACACTAGGTTCGTTAGTATCTGCCATCACTGTAGGTAACTTCATACGTACCAAAATGGGATTCATTGCATCTGATTTGGCGTATTCCTTCAACGTCGCAATTGCTGCTGCTTCTGGCTCAGCAATTGTGTAGATTTCGTCCCCTGGCCTCTTCCCAAAACCGGCATTCTTGGCAGCTTTCAAAGTAGCATCTTTCGCCTCTTCTGACCATACAGCAGGTAGTGTTACCCAGCATTGCATTGGTGTGTTTTCGAAGGTCAGGTCAGTCATTTGTTGTCGCAACTTACCTGATACATGTGTGTATACTTCGTGCAGAAAATCTTCGCAGACGCCCGCAGCATCACGAAATGGAGGTACTTGCAGCATACCAGAACCTGTCATATCCACAAGTGATGGATCATCATGCTCCATCGCAGCAGCATTGTTGTCGAGTAGAAGTTTAGTCCACGAGTAAGATTTCAGCTTTGGGTTGACCTCAAATCCCCACTTGTTATTCTTCAGTGTTGGATTTTCCCGACTATACGCAATTCTCGTAGGAGTTTTCCAAGACACATGAGGGTCTCCAGGCCATGGAGACATGATAGTGATGTCCTCTAAACCAGTTTTATCCGAAGTCACGTAACTGACACCTGTAATAACGTTAAAAATGAACACTGTGAAATCTGACTTGCATACCTGAAAAGGTTGTACCATAGTCAATTCCTATGATGATCTTGTGACCATTCCCTTTCGTATAAACAGAATCCAGAGTGTTTCTTAGGGACCTGAGATCCAGTGGAGTGCTCATGATGATGGTAATAATCGACCAGGTTGGGAGAATGTACTGGCCAATTTTTGAAGTTGATAAGAGATTGCTTTATATTATAGGATTAGGAGAAGGAGGGAGGGGTTAGGAGGAATTACAATCTTATCATAAGAGGGTCCTTGATGAGTCATGACCGACCGACCTCTTATTATACCCTGTCTTGACCCGTAAGCGCTTGACAGGGGGTTTAATTAAGTACTAGTGTATATTACCTTACGATACTGTAATTGTTCATTGGTCAAATACTGTAATAGATTCTGCCACTTTTATCCGACTTAAACTTGGTGGAGGTAATGGTACCCGTCGGATTCCTAGATTGGAGGAATTGGGAACTGAGGAAATTACTTATTGAGTTGATAGAAGTAGGAACACGAAAATTCATCTTCGCTTTGTCATGTTCGTTTTGTTTTCTATTGAGAACCATCGAGGACAACTGAAGATGACCTCCGACAGTCAGAAGAAAGGAGACCATCTCCAGCGAAAAGAGGAATATGAAAGGCCCATACACCCAGAATCTGCTCAAACCCAATCATCATTACCAGCAACAGGCAAGATTGAAGCTGATGTCGTCTCACGTTCAGTGGCGCGAGAAGATTCAATGAAAAGTCAACAACTTTCTCTTGGGCTCGATACCCACGGGTGCGAGGATGGAGAGCTTCCAGCACCAATGCGAGAGACTAGGCAGAGGACCCAGAGAAACGAACGACACAATAACCAAGGTATGTAGTTATGGACTTATTGGGAATATGGCTAATCTTATCTCGTTACTTTAGAAAATTCGTCCCTTAGTTCAACGATACGTAAAAGTTGGTCTAGCTTGAGGTTCACTCGATCTTCTGCGACTTCAAATGAAAGGCCACCACACCAGCGACATGTCAGTTTCAGCAGTGCAGAGCAGTCCTCCCAGCAGCCGCATCCAAACGATTGTGCGGGAAAGAGTATCTCGAGCGCGAAAGAACAAGACAAAGTAGTCAAATTGAAAGAAGAATTTGAAAAACTTCTCGAAAACAATAATAAAGATCATGTGGCGAAGGAGAGAGATCTACAACGCAAAATTGACAGTTCGGAGGGTGTAACACGCACATTACAAGCTAAAATCGAACAGCTCGAGACTGAAAAGCAGGCCATAGAAGAAAAGCACAACACATTCATTCTAAAGCAACAAGAAGTAACATTCAGACAAATGGCAGACTCACGTTGGATGCCCGTCGAAGATAGCAAAGTTGTGGGAGACCTCAATAGACTAAAGCGAGATATGAGAAGCTGGGTGAAAAAAGCATCGGAAAATGATATTTCTGTCCTGGATTCACTCGACGAACACAAACTCGCAGCTCTAATGAATGCATTGTCACATGTGGTTATCTTTGAGGATGGTCATCTTCCTCGGGGATTGTCTCCGAGAAAATCTCCAGTACTACTTCTGAATGCTCTGCTCTCCCATAGTATTTACAAAGCCTTATTTCAAAGTCCTTTTTTCATATTCGGGGACAACCATATTGGATGGCAATATATTATGTCAGAGCTCCGTGTAAGGCTAGAACAAATCTACCGCGAAGGCCGATATTGTAAGTGAAATGAACGTTGATTCGGGAGAAAAATTAGACTGATTTCTTTGATAGCAAATAAAGAGGATGCTCATATTTGGCGATCCCAATTTTTGAGACTTCTGTTACCCCCAATAGCGACTGAGACTTCAGACGATGCAAAGCGGTTACATGACTCGACTCAGCATATGATAGTCGTAGCGGCAGATCGAGTAGCCTCGGACTTCCTAGAAGGTGCAGCTCGATATCTCATCAGCAATGAAGCTCGAGAGAGTTGCGGAGACAGGCTTAAAGCCATCTGCCGAGAAGCAGCAACCATTTCGTACATGCTATGGACAAGAAAAACGACACTAAAGATAACCACTTTACACAACATGGGTCATCGACCTTTTGATCCCGATAGCAAATGTAGTGTTCCTCATTCCTCGGTAGATTACGAAAGCCACAAGGATCAGCTCAGGGGAAGGTCAATCAGTATGATGGTGCATCCACTCGTGATGGTCTTTGGCACAGATGATGGGACTGATTATGACCAGGGACGTGTGTGGGCACCGGCGGAAGTATGGCTTGATAGCAGTAAACCATCTGCGGAATAACTTCGATAGATTTTCGATTATACTCGGCGAGGCATGATTGTAAACTCTCAGGGGTGGGTAGTGGGCAGGGTATTGGTAGAGGCTAGGGGGGAGTACCGGCAACTAAGCCTTCCATTACTAGACGTCGATATTCCAGGGGATTTTCCAAAAAGCGTTGACATTAAGATTGCGATGCTTTATAGTTGCTGATGAATTCATGAAATTTGCCAATATCCTGTGTTCTAAATGATGTGTGTGAGATCCTGTTCAGGCCAATTCGATACTGAAGTCTGAGAAACAAGTTTATTTTCTGTGGCGACATAGTGCACACCCGATCCGAAGTTTAGCCGGGTCTGAACTACTTCAGTCACCATACCTCCTCCCCCTTTGACGGATCTTGTTGGAACTAAGGTGGCTTCTTAGGACAATCTTAGTACAGGTTCAAGAAAGTTTCGATATCGATAATTGATAGCGAAATCCAAAAAGACAACTCAAATTGTAACAGCCTAGCTATATTAGATGAGAGAAAAAACAAAAAAGGTAACTAAACATGTATAAGAAGAGCCATTACGCGAATAGGACTAGTAAAATGGAATTAGGAGGAGAAGAATAACTTTAGAAAGTGGAAACCTTTCTGTGCCCCTCCTTCCTTTTTTGGCCCAATTTCGACCTTTAGGTTTTTTTTCTCGAGCTTGATTGTTAGTATTCATGTCTTCATCGATTGTCAATATACTAGAAAGTATGTACTTGATCCCGCTAATTTCATATGCTCTGACGGCATGAGTAGGGTTGGATATAAGGGGATGGGTAACTGGTTATCGGTATGGTAAGGATATACTACTACCAAGGTAAAGGTTTATAACCACACATTCTACACAGGGGAGTCTGTCTCGAGTGCTTATTGATGATCTATAATTATAGTTAACCTTTGATCCGCCTATACATGACCAAAAACCAAGCTTGCTAATATACAACACTAGAATAAGGAGTCATCTGCGATACGAGAGATTTACAACACTACATAATTATCTAGTTCTTGAAATCGCACTAAATTCTTCATGGATTTTTATCTTCCACAAGGAGAAGGCATTCTACCATACTGGCTCCTCTTTGTGAGTTTATGTTCAGCAGTCTTCATACCAAAAGTCTCCTTTGTAATAGATCGTAGACACTAAATCCCAGATCAGAAAACAATCCCAACAACTAACACGCCCTCCACAGAACTCCCTCCTCAGCTCCATCAACTACGCCCAAAGTTTCCTCTCCTTTTGGATAGCATTGGCAAATTAATTGATCCAGATTTTGCAAGTTTTCCGAAAGCTTCTTAGAAATTAGTATATATAACATTTCAATCAAGGGAAGGGAAGACAAACGAGCTAATATTATCCCTATAGATATATGATATGATTGAGCCTACATATATACCTAGCAACATTTTGGTCTGTTGTCTTAGTCAACATTTAATGACTGGAATAAACCCAAGGAGTACTTAGGTAGTTTACTTGGAACTTTCTGTTATCGGCGCAGTTCATACTAAGGTTCCCACAGTAGATTAGCCATGGAACTAGATCTCCTCGCAGTTTCGTCATAAGCAGTCTTGTCTGTTGAGATGATGATTGGAATGATACAGCTGCACCATGCGGTAACCTCACCACCAAAATCCCCCGAGGTGCCTATCCTTATCATCCTTTTTGCTTACATAAATACGAGTAAACAAACTTCTCAATCTTGTTATTAGGTACACTTTGATGATGTGAAATTCAGATGTTGTATTTTGGAACCGTGACGGGTGGGCCGAGATTGGATTGGATGGGAGTATGGTTGTGGACGGTGGAAGATTGCTGATTATGTTGAGTCAGTGGAATGGGTTTGTTGTTTGTTGGGTGATGGATGTTTGTATCGTAAGCACTTATACAGATGTTTTTGGGAGCAATTACGGTTAATGCCTCTAAATTTGGCAAGTTGCCAGAATTGGGCTGAATTTGTTTATGAGAGAAATTACCTGTATCTTGAGCGTGACTGAGTGTGAGAATAAATTCAGTAAGAAAGATGATCACAGTGAAAGAGATGGACTAGAAAGCTGGTCCGGCAAGGGAACTCCGACTCTCTGAGGCTTATAGCGTAGAGATGAAGCCAATATTCACACTTCGAGTTAGTCTCCATGGAATAAAGGGTCCTAATAGGAAAATGGAAGCAATTGTCTTTCATTACAATATCATTCCTTCGTGGTAACCGCTCCTCACCAGCTAGGTTTGGCATGATCTGCGACTTTTACAGTTTAAAACAATAAATATCCCAAATCGGCTCCGCAGTCCCATCCCATCCCATCTATCACGAAAAATGCTTCTCAGTGGACTTTATGAGTACCGGTATCTGGAGTCTCTCTCCATGCAACAAAGTTTTGCTCGCCAGAACATGTGCGCGCGCAGTGTCTCTGATATAGATGGATGCCTACAATGCAAAGTTATCTCCGATTTGAAATTTATGTTTGCCGGAAACTGACCGTCCGATAAGAGTTTTTTCTTTTCTTTTGAAGACTACTTTTTCCGCAAGAACTTTACATTTAACGTACGCATTAGCGTTGTCAGTCTCTGTTTAAACTTGTCCGCTTTCCTCGGTGAGTTCTACGCCGGCAAGTTGATGTATAGACCAAGGTTTCGACGCCAGCATTTGCAAGTGTACATCTGAGCGCATTGTTAGCCCTTCAATGATTATATTTCGCTGAGTTTGTTCGTTGGCTGTGTAAGTTGAGGCGACACAATGCACAATACACAACGATACATGGTTTCACTTATTTCTTGACTGCTTGGACAACTTCTGCGTTGAGGATGTCTCCCGTATGGTCATTCACTTTTATCGAAAGGGTTGGAAGAAGGATTGCGACTTAATACGTGGACCGAGGTGAAATGAGAGTCTTCAAGCAACGAGCTTACGATTCTTGATTCTACAGTAACTAGAACAGATCCAAAAGAAGAGGGTCTCGTTATGGTTTCCATGGAGACCGATATTGGCGATAGAGGGACATTCTTTTACTGAATAGACGATCTCAAAGTCACTTATCACAGTCATTGTTTGGCATCTACTAAGCAAACATCCATGCCACTTGGATTCAGCCATCTGTATCCAGGTGCTTGATCGGATTTCCACAGATGGTATGGAGCCCAGATCTTACTATAATTCGAATGGATTACCGAAACATCCAGAGATCTATCAAACCCACCAATCAAGGGGTTCGGGCAAGCGATCTAGAGATGGCAGATCACAATGCAAGTTGGGCAAGGACCGAAGTACATCTAAACTTCTAAAGTGGCTGTGCTGGTTGCATTATATTTCCCATTCCGTACAGTAGTACCTTCCCAACACTAACACTAACACTAGTCTCAAGCGGTATACAAGCACTAATGCACAAATTACCCCGGCCTAGACAAGATAACCAGCATATCAACCGCGGCTGACTTAGTCGGTCCAATTACTAGTAGTCTAGTATTGGAGGAGCTTCTCCATACTGGAATCCGAATTCATACACCCGTGTACACAGTCACTGCCAGCAACCACTAACAACGAGTAGACACCTCAACCCACAAAACAAAGTCGTTCCTTTGAATTCACTCTCGAGTCTCAATCTGAAATTTGAAAGAACCGATGAACCGAAGAGCCAACCACATTACATACCGGTATACCGGTATATTGAAACCCAACCGGAAAGAAAGCATGCATAATCGCACTGTAACGTAACCCTTGTAGCAAAAACTTTGGAGGTCACTAAATCAAAAGATCTTACGACTTACATATATAGTAAAAAACCAACTGCAGTCCAGCCACGGCACAGACCTCTTCATTCATATACCTAGTATCGGTAAGGTGATCTTACAATCAATACCGAACCAACAAGTTGCGCATACCGGTACTATATAACGAAAAAGAAGTACCAAAGTACTAAGTCATCAAAATAAACTACACAAAGAAAAAATATCTTAGCTTTGACAAAAGAAGCCCAAGATGAACATCATAAGATGGCATGAAGAAAGTGTTGAGATTAAGATGGAGTTGCAAGGCAAGTACAGTCAGTCACTCGGCTAGCTACTCGACCACTTGAGTTGGTTCGGTAATCTTACAAGCGAGATTTTTAGCTTCCGGTACAAAGTATCTTTCCGTTGCATATTTTCTGGCGGCGTCTGGCAGCACGAGAATATTAGATGAGTGATTGATGCAGCGGCTATTTAGTGATAGAGACGTTTGAGGTGCGAGTACTACAATGTTGAACTCTTCAGTATTGCCTTTGAAGGTTTCTGGATTTGGGCGGAGAAAAGATCGGAGCCGTGTAACAGTTCATTCGCATAACAATTCATTCGCAACTGGCGAATATCTTGCAAATTCTAGGAAATTCTGACTTTAGCTTCAAAAAATGCTTTAGAACCATTTCGCAAAATCGTGATACTTTCCATCACGTATATATCATACACTACCCTAGCATACAGTACATTCTATCCTCCCATGTCCCCTTCATCAAGAAATTGTACAGATAATTTTCCCCTTACTGGTATTCTTCTCCATCTCCTTATGCGCATCCACTACCTGCTCCCAAGGGAATACCTTATCCACAAAAATCTTGAATGTGCCATCTTCGAACTTTGGAATGTATTCCTCCAACTTATTCCTCAACTTTCCTTGATACTCCACATCTCTACTCCTCAAAGTACTTCCCTCAAACCTTACCCTCTTCATCACAAATGCACTCATGTCAACTCCATTTGGTAATTTCGTCCCGCTCATCGCACCCAGATGAACTACCCTTCCGTCTTTGGCTGCTACGTTGAGATTTCCTTGGAAATAGTTTGCACCCACGAAATCAATGACGATATCCACACCCTTGCCATCGGTAGCAGCTAGGATTTCCTTCGCCCAGTCCTGTGTCTTGTAGTTGAAACCCGCTGTGGCGCCTAATTCTTTGACACAGAAATCGATCTTTTCTTGCGAGCCAGCCGTTACATAAATAGCTGATGCGCCGGAGTTTTTCGCGAGTTGAATGCCGGAAATGGAGACGGATGAGGCACCCGCGTGCCAGAGTATAGATTTTCCCTTGGAGAATTCGCCGACGAGGAACATGGCTTGGGTAGCCGTTATCCATGTCTATTTCGAGGTATTAGCTCAACGAAATCATGGACCATTCCTTATATCAGATTGAATGTAGTGAGTAATGACATACCTCAGGAACTCCAGCAGCTTCCTCCCAGCTCAAATGCCCAGGTTTCTTCAAAAGCATATGCGTGCTCACAGCAATAAACTCCGCATAAGCACCCCCATACGCCAAACCGAAAACCTCATCTCCAACATTGAATCCTTCTTTAATATCCGTGCCTAGACTTTCAATTGTACCGGAAAATTCTACACCGAGAGTTTTGGGGGCTTGCGATGGAACGGGGTAAAGACCTTCGCGTTGGAGGAGATCCATGCGGTTGAGTCCAAAAGCTTTAACTTTGACAATGGCTTCGCCAGATGAGGGGGTAGGTTTGGGGACTGAGTCCTTAATGTAGAGAGCGTCGGCATGGCCGGTGCCGGCTTTGATGTCTGGGAGGTTGTATTAGTATGAGTTTTATTGATTTGTATTTGTATTTGGTGTTGGAATGCTAGGGGTGGATAGCTTAAGCTTGAGATGTATTGAATGGGAATTACATACCAACTGCGCGCATAGTCTTAGACATCTTTTTAGATTTACTGGAAAATCAGATAAAGCTCAAACGAGTTGACATAGCTCCGCCTGGAGGGGTATTTGATGTTTATGTTGTAATGAGGTGGGTCTGACCAATGATGATAGCGGGGTAGCTAAAACTTATGCTTACAAACATGCCGAAATATTGACGAAAAAGGTACCCGAAGCTCGGTACTTGTAATTAGTGGGTGTTTTTTTCGGTTATGTATATCCGGTCGCCTTCGGTGGGTAAGGTTAGCTGTTCAAAAAACTATTATGATCTATCGAATTTTGGAGATAACTGTAAACTTTTATACAATAGTCACAATGGTAATCTATTCCACTCCAGACTTCCAAACCAGACTCAAGTTTCTACGCATACCTAATTACTCGAGTTTTAGGCATAAAACCAGCAAACAAAATCCAAAGATACCGAATCGATATCATTCTACTCATATATCTCTACCAATCAATCCTCTCCTTTAACCTTCTACTTCACCAAAACCAACCTTCACTTGACCTAATCTACTGTGTTATCTACTCCAGCTCTTCTCTCTCATACATAATACGAGTATTGACAGTATTGGCCAAAACATTGTTCGTTTGGACATCCTCTTGACAATGATCAATCCATAAACCTTGCTGACTATATCACTATTTCCCAAAACTGAGCGATTAAGTATCAGCCATGGTCCTAGTCTAATGAACACATATTTATAATCCATCAATGCACAATGCTAGGGCTTGAGGATGGTTTAGATTGACTACCGGCACATGATATTGTATCTGTAAGTCTTATATCAAGCATTGTCCTATAACCATCCAGTATAATAGCTCACAAAGGCAAGCCGATTATAAAGCCTTTTTCAAAACATTCAAGGACATTTCTTCAAGTCATATCGCAGGATGTATATACCGGTATGTATACATTCACAACATCAAAATGGTCCAAAGTACGCTGTTCAATTCAATTCATCCAATCCCTAATCCCATTCCCATCCCAATCAAACACAATCAAACAAACCCACAAAACACATCAAATAAACTTATACGCCAACCTTATCTCCTATTTCCTCCCCTTTCCCCATCCCCATCCTCATCCCCTCCTCACAAACCTCTTCCCACTTTTCTCCCTCTCCCCCCTCCCTCGCTTTCCTCTCCGAATTCCAAATATCCCCAGCCCCTCAGCAGTTCCCAAGCCTTCCCTACACAGCACCATAGCCCCATCCCATAAGTCAACTACCCTACTTTCGGGCCACCCCCCCTTTCGGGCCACCCTTTCACACCAAAAACAGTGATTTTCGAATATTCACAATTCTATCAATATTGAATCTAATTAAATGAAATTTTGAACATAGATTCTATATATAGTTATTAGCTCAGTTATAGTTTTTTAGATTTTTCATAATTTTGGATAAAAAGTTATTAAAGTTTAAAAATTAAGGTTTTCATTTTGTATACGATTTACATA